CTTTATAATTTATGTTACAGGTTGCACCTGTTTTACAAAATCTTCAAGGTTCAAATAAAAGGTAAAGTTATATATTTCTTTATAATGCATATTTAGTGTTACTTTGTTTTTACTGTGATCATGTTAATAAAAGTGTAACTTTTTTTAGATTGGTTCAGCAGTTATAGCTATATTTTTTGAAGATAGAGCTCTTTATCGAGCGGAAGTTCTGAATATTGATACGCGGAAGGATGCATACGTAGTTCAGTACATAGATTTTGGAAATTGCGCAGTCTAATCAACATCGCGTATTTCAAATTCGACATCGATGACATCTCCGGAGAGTTAGATGCAAAGAGACCGGTACCTTTCCGCTTGACGCCCAATATCTTCGAATTTCTCACAACTATAGGTCAGTCAGACACAATCTTAATCTTCTCGTCTGTCGACGTGAAAATAAAGATATCTTGATATAGACATCCCTTGTGCTTGGATAAATTCAAATGTTATATAGAAAAACTTGTAGTAAATCCGATATTTATTACTGTGCAGACCGTTGCCAAATTCTTTCAGGTTTCACGATGTTAATTCTTTTGCAGGAGTTTGCGGACCATTGACCGCTAGCGTGATCGCCACAGCGCGCTGTTTGGTTCAGCCCACGTTCCAGCTGCATGCTATACTTCGCACAATTTTGCGGGATGAAGTGATCGCGGACCATAAACGGCAAGAAGACGCCGAGGGCACATCACAAGAGCCGACCGATCTAAAGGGTGGACTTCTGATAAAGATGGTGAACCACGCGGTCAACGCGATTGTCGGTAGACTAAATTCTCTCGCGAATTTCGACGGCATTGACAGTAAGGTCAGCACACTAGTAGCCGCTGCCAATAGCCATGACAATCTCTGCAGAATGGATCCCTCGTGGCACCCATGGCTGTAAGATACAGAACGTTTGGCCTAACAACACATTTGTGCTATAACGAGAAAAGGATTAAAATCATTATCGCATTATTCATTTTATTTTCTTGCCCATATACGTTCTTATATTTTATAACACTGACGCTAGCTTTCAGGAAGTTATTGAAAAATGAAAGATGATAAAGAGAAGTTAGACGCTAGAAAAGTATTATTTATAATCTATACATATATATAGATATATGAATATACGTAGTTTATATGCATTATAACATTAATTTTGTACAACGTAAATCGAAACTATTTGTAAACTGCGAATTTAATTCTATT